TATACAGGACTGGGTCAAGGGGGAAGGCATCTCAGCAGGGATGCCTAGACTTCCCACTCCACAAACTTTCCAGCTCCTCTGGGCGATGCTTAAGGCATTACCAGACCAGCTCATTTTAGCCGCTTAGATCAGTATATCAAGAGATTTGCCTTTTGGCTTTACTCACTCCCCACCACAATAAACCAGTGCATTAAAAAAGCAGCCAGGCCGATTCATTCTTGCTCTTGTGCTGAATTCTCCCCTCACTCAGAGGACCCCAGAGTACTTGAACCCGTCGACTTAAGGCAGGAAGAAGGCAATCCACCTTTATTTGGTCAGGAACCCTGGCCTCAGACTTGGAGGAGCTTATCTTTATCTTGGCCTCAGCTGTGAACCACCTTAATGAAGCCAGTAGAAATACTTCATTTGCAAAGAGCAGAGATTCTGCTCCCTAAACCAGAGCGCTCCTGCTCTTGGCTGCACCTGGAACTCCTGTCCACAAAAGTTGTGATAGCAACCGCTGACAGATGGTGGCCCTGCCGAAGCCCCCATGTCTGACTTAATGCCAGCAATGCAGACCACTTTACTGCTCACTGGTTATCTACCATCTGACTGTCATGTTGTTTCACATCGGTAATGTTGTAAATTGCAATTGTTACATTTTTGTCCCCCCCTTGATTGAAACTACAGTACAGTAACTGCAGCTTAACAATCCAAACAGTAGTCCTGCTTAGGATATGCTGTAATGATTAGAATGACAGTTCTTTTGAAAAAACCCAATCCCTAAAATTAGTTCAGTGAAACTCTCTTAAACACGTGCCCAACGCCTTTTCTCTAGGACTGGTGCCCTGCATTGGCAGCTGTGGCTACAATGTAGCTTGCCACCATGAGTGTTGGGATGGTTGAATTACAGAACGTGGTGCCTTGGAGTCCCCTGACTTGAAAATGAACTATATAAGTACAGGACATTTAAGACAAACTCATGAAAGTACAACACCATAGGAGAAAATTACTGTTAAGATTCTAGACTATTTAAAATGCTTAATTGAAGAATTGGCATGTTTTTAAGGATTTTTTTAAAAATAAATTAACCTATGCAAATTTAAATAAGTATTATTTAGCTCATATTTAGGTCATGATTTTAGGCTTTTTGATTTATTCTGTGTATAATACATTTTTTGTGAGTGGAA